CATCAAGAGTTACTGGGTGGTCTGAGTCTTCTTGGAAGCAATTTAATCACCAAATGGGTACATCTATTTAATGATACACAGAGATTTACAATTATATAAACAAAACCTGCTATATATAAAAGTGCTATAATTATAATTTGTTCTTAGCTGTGTCTAGAAATTCTTACAATCAGCCTGACAGTACATAAGATGCAACAGACCTTAAGACAGACTGGAATGTGATAGAGCAGTCTTCAAAAAGATCTTAATATACAATTTTCACAATGGTATATCAGTATGAGATTGAATTGCTAAAAGCTTACCCAAGGCCTTTTAAGAGACCAGTACATATGAAAAACTCTAAAATTTAAACTTTATGAGCTTCACATTATCTTTACCTCTCAATTTAATAGCACCAAATTCCCAGGCAGCATGTAATCCTAGCTACAATGTAAGAACAATTAGTTGTTATGCCATTGCCTTGCTTGAAACATGCTCACATGAACGAATCACTGAAGATTTGGGTGCTACAGCAAAGTGTGGTGAAATTACACCGCACTTGGCTATCATAAAGAATAGAATTCATTGTCTTTATATTTGGTTTCAAACAAACAGCAGTCTAAGTGAGACATCAACTAAGCCCTCACGGAGGAAGCACATGAACATCCATGATGTAAGGACTGCAATTTACATATCCAAATTCAAAGGAAGGAATGGCAACAGAGCTTAAAGGGTGAATATCTGGTTTCAAAATGGATGACAGTGGCAATGGATCACTGTGGAAACCCAAAATTTTCAAGATCTGCACATGGAATAAGACTGACCACAATTACCCTCTAACCACAATTGAAGGATGAGAATAACCTGGTTATCAATACAGAGAGTATTGGAAAGATGATTATAGCAAATAAAAATGATAAATTTGACTTGAATGGTTAAAACTCAGACATTTATCTCTATTTTGATACAGTTTTGCTGCTTTCTCTTTTCTCCCCTTCAATTTGGGACTTCACTTTGTTGTGTTTTGTTAGACTTTTTCACTTTCTGTTTTATATTTGGGTATATGAAACCCAGGACGGGTGAATCTATAGAAATAATAACTAGAATAAGGCTT